TTGTTGAAAGACCAGAAAGCTCCCCCTCTTGGAGTTAACCTACTGCAGATGGCACTATTTGGTTCTCGTGCAGAACAATGTTTACCACACACAGATCAGAGAAATCTCAGATTTTGGAGTCAAAAGGTTGTAACTACGAGATCATAAGTGGTTATTTTACTGATAGAGGAGTTTTGGCAACAGTGCAGTCAGGTGTTGACATTGTGCAGAGCTGAGGGGTTGTGGGCCCAGAGTAAAAATGTCCCATCTACTATATTAACGAAGCTCCTTTTGCAGATAGCGTGCATTGGTTCAGGGGCCAAAAAGTGTTTTTCATACTCAAATCTGAGGACCCCTTGGGCCAGCCAATAAAGGCATCTTTAAATAGTTGTAGCTTTTTTAACGCAAAAATGGGCACGATTTAGATCATTAAGAGGGCCGTCTTTGACTTTGAGCCTGCCTTTCAGGGCCAGCCCGGGCTGAGAAAATAACACTATCCAAACAAGAAGGCATAGACACTGAAGATTCTCCCCACTCGGGAATCGAACTCGGGTCTCCTGCATAAGATGACGAAGTGCATAACCACTACACAACAGTCGGCAGTAATAGATGCCGTTTTTGTAAATGTCAAGATGCTATTCTGAAATACAACTGGTTTCACTCTCTCTCTCTCTCTCTCACTCTCTCTCTCTCTCTCTCTCTCTCTCTCTCTCTCTCTCTCTCTCTCTCTCTCTCCTCTCTCCTGAAAAATGCTGCATTTGCAACAGCTAATTGACGATTTACAGTCCCCTCCACAACTCCCCACAGCTTCTAGCTCACTCTATCATCTCCCTCACACTCAGACGGTCTCTCTCCTGTACAATGCCTTCAGCGTGAGCAAGCTCAGGGGGTGAGGAAGCTGAGGGGGTGAGCAAACCGAGGGGGGTCGGTATCGCCGCGGGTGTTAGAGCGAGCCACGACAGCAGCCATGCAGAAAATTGTCCCGAGCGATGATGGAAGAGGCTCTGAAGCCCTTCGCCTGGGGAGATTGCCCATTGTGCGTTCAATGAAACAAATACAAAGTACACTGCACACACACATACATACACACGCGCGTAGCCTACATTCATGTAGTATGCACGCGTTTCGGTGGTGGTGGTGGTGGTGGTGG